CGATAGAAAGCGCGACGTAGTAGTGTGGCACGCCGTAAACGATTCGGCTTTTGCGAGCGGCCAGGCGGCCGGGGGGGAGCTCGGAAATAAACCGCGTGTTTTCTTTTTCGAGTGCGAGTAAACTCGATTCCCGGCGACGACGAAAAACGGAAAATTATCGCGGCGACCACGAATCTCGGCCTCTCCGAAGACTACCTACCGACTGTCTCCGTTCCGGCGTTACGCGCGCGTGTCCGTGCTAATTGCACAGGCGGAGATAATGACACGCGTAATTGCGTTATCGAACGAATCGACGAGCGCCGAGCGAGGGGGATGGGGATTTTTAATTAAAATTTTGCACAGGGGACGGAAAAAAAGGAAAGGCACGTGTACTTTTTCGGCCGAACACCCGTGTGTCTCTCGCGAACCCGTTCGAGTGAATTAAATTCGCGAAAATTACGGTGCGAGTGTAACGCGGTGTTCTTTGAACTATCACAAAGTAAAGCGCGCTATCTTTTCCCCGTCGGCGAGAAAGTAAAATCGTTGTTGCGTCTCTGATAAAGACCAGACGCAGGCGCGTGTGTGTTTGTGCACACGCGTATAGGTGTGGACGCGCACACAAACAAAGCCACCGCATTCCACGCGGACCGGCTGCTGCATGTAATCACGCTCGAATAATTAATTAGCTTATTCTGCAGTACTTAGGACGAATTAAAAACATATCGTCGGGGCGAAACTGCTAGTGGTGACGAAACGCTACGTTAGCAACGAAGTATTCACGAAATCGGCACGGCGCAACAATTCGTTTGACAATATCAATCTCTTTCTCGCGGAAAAATTTCATCGAATCTTCCCGTCGCATTGAATCTCAAAATCGGTCCGCTTGTTTCAGACAGACTCGCAATAATGTGATGTGATTTGTGCGTATGTGCGTATATATATGTACGCGTGTAATTTCGATGGAGCGTTAATACGCCGAAGTAGATCGATACGGACGCAAGCACAACGGACGCGGGATAATTAACGTAACGTCACTTTTCATTACGTTTATTATTAAAAGGGTCCGGATTATAACGATTTAACGAGCGTGCATTAATAGAGTCGACCGTACGAATATTCCCCGGCTCGAATTTATAGATTATATTCGGCGGGGCCGAGCGCGGTGTTACTTATGGGTAAAACGTTAACCGTGATCGGAATTTCTTATGAGCTCATGCAAACTAATAGCCGCACGGCCGAAGAATCGAATTTCCGCGAAACGGATTCTCCCCTTGTGTTTGTGCCAACTCGCGGTTGGCAGCGACTCCGAGTAAAAATAGAGGAATACAATGCAAGACTTCAAACATCGCCGGATTGTGAGACAAACGACTGGCATGCAATTTTAATTACCGCATGAGGGAGGGGGCAATAATGCCCGATGATAAATAAGAAAAGTATCGGGACATCGATTGCGATAATACGTAGGCCTAATTGCCGGTTAATGCAACAAGGTTCCGTTCCAATAATCAAGCGTATCGTGCGAACATCGTGCCCGCACCAACATTCCCGTTCGTGCGAGATTAGTGTATAAATCTACAGTTAGAAAACTCATTTCCCGAGTGCGGAGAGTCCGGGGCATCGGTGATTATTAAAATTGGAAAGTACAATTAAGGCGGTATCAAGCGGATCGTTAAATATAATTAGGTCGGTATCGATCGAATGGTTAAAGTAACTGAAACGTTTTCGCGTTTCAGCGCGATACATAACGTCGGCGCGAATAAAAGCTTTCAGGAAATACACGGTATCGATTAGCTCTCTGTAAACGTACATATACCTCGCGGAGAAAATAATAAAATTGTCCGTTACACTGTTTAACTTCATTCACCGCGACAATGAAGAGACGATCGATTAGCGGGATTAATTTATCTCGTCTAAAATACGTGAACTCGCCCGTAACTCGATTTGGCGGAATTCTACGTTTCGCCGAGATTTCTGCCGAAAGTTGGCGAATTGTCACGAGTTAGGATACGCCGGGGTAATTTCGTGAAAACTCTTCGGCCGTCATAAAGTAACCGAAAACCGGACTACCAGCAGCTGTTGGACAAATATTTTGCCTTGATAGTCAAGATGAAGCAAAGTCCCCCCCGTCTCAACCGGGCTCATCAATCACGTCCATTACGTACGACACGGTCGATTCGCGATAACACGCGGCTGCGCGCAAGGAACGGAAGGAGAGAGCGAGAAAGCGAGCGAGAGAGGGAGCTGGAGTGGGAGAGAGAAAGACAGAGAGCGAGATCACTTAGTTAAGTTGAAAAAAATTCAGCGAAATAATTTGCAGCGGAGTCGCCACGAAGATGGTACGCGGAGGGGAGGGGAGGAAACGCTACAATTGACAACGACTCGAGATAATGCTTTCTATCGCGTTGTTCGACATCATTGTCGGCGAGAAAATGTTCAGTTCCTTCTGGAGCAATTACGAGGAACAAAAGGGTCAAAAGTAGCGGCCGCAATTACGGGTTCCTCCCTCTGGTCGCTCTTTTTCCCTTCCTCCCTCTCTCCCTCTCACTCACTTATTCCCCCGGCTTCTTTTTCTCTAACTAAATAACTGTAGATTATATTCCACCCCGTTTTGTTTCGAGTGTTTTTTAAGAAAGTTTCCATTACGCACAATTTCTCAACTTACACGCGGACTCGAAAATGATAAAAGGACGAAAGGGGACACTCGCCATCGGCGGTACTTGTAATATCGCTCCCATCGAGGAAAGTAGAATATCCGCGTCACCCTTCTTCTCGCTCGACCCCTCCGTCGGCACATTTTTTTCCTACGCCACGAACGAAAGAGAAACAATATTTCTCACGCGAAAAATCCGGCCGAAAAAATCGGATTTCGCGAATTGAATCGTCCGTCGAGGTCCGACGATATTTCGTGTATTGCGACTTCGCCCCGTAAAAATTCGAAGTGCGAGGAAGCCGAATTTCGATTCTCTGAGAGCGATCGGAGTAGATAGAAGCGACAATTTATACAGTTAACCAACGAAAGAAGAACGATCAAAGACGATGTGATTCCAAGGGCGGATCACAGAACGACCCCGGTTGCCCCTTTCGAAATAATCGGCCAGCAAACAGTGAAAATGACGAGCGACGGGGGTGCGCTTAATTGACGACGTCTCAATGGAACAACGGGGACGAGAGAGCCCCGTGGCGACCCCAAAAGCCACCCTAACGTCGGGCAACGAAGGGTCGCTCGAACGGCCGTATCCTTTCAGACTTCGAAGTGGCTTTAAGTCCACGCCAGTATTTCACGGAGTTTCGTTTACTCGGCCCTCCTTCTTACTTACCCCTCGTCCCGGGGGAGGGCGGAGACATGCTCAACGTATTTCCGCATATTTGAATAATGCCACGTTCGTGATTCCGTAATCGTTCGATTCGATCGCGCGCACAAAAGCGGTTACATCGATGCGCGATATCGCGGTCGCGTGATAATCCCGTTCACGTTGCGGAATACAGCCGGATGAATTGGCGATAAACGCGACGTAACACGCGTCTTCGATGTACACGACAGATGTGTGTGTGTGTGTGTGTATTCCGCAAATAATGAATATTTCAAATTATATTAACAAAATAAACCGTCCCGATTGATGTACGTAAATTATTCCCCGGGCAGAAGCAAGAGAGGAAGAGGAAGACGGGGGGAGGGGAACCATTTCATACTCGGCCACCAAAATGGCGAGTGACGTTTCATGAAATTTCCATAGAGTGTCCGGATATGCATCGAAACGGCAGTGAACTAAAATAACACCGGAACGTGGGAAAGCGATAAGGCCGAAGTTAGCACGCGACAGATTCGTTACCGACGACGGCCGGCAAAGTAGAAATTGTCATAGCAGTGAGACGTGCGCGCACACACACACGTTACCGCGTAACATTAAAGCACTGATCAAATAGTTAGCGGGTATTACTTAGAAGAGTATATCAGTACGCTAATCGAGTGATATTTTTTTCAAAACGGCGCAACGAGGGATCCCTATTCGCGCAATCTCTATTCGCGTATATTCCGTGATTAAATATCCGTAATTATTTTTCGTATCGTCCGACAGCGATGAAATATGCATTCACTAAATCGCGCAGGCGTTAACAAAGAGGGAATTGCAAAATGTCGTGTGACACACGAAGAGGTACAAAATAACGGGAAATGGTGAGTTTCAAGGGAATATATGAGTCTTTCGGAATTCTCCTCGGAATTTTCATTTTAAAACGAAATATATAGAAAATATGCAAAAAAAATAAACTAGAAGAAGTATTTCTTATTATATGTCTTGTGGTGTATTTTTTCTCATGCAACGTCGCAACTTTCTCTGTTGAAATATTAAAAAAGGACAACTCCACCTCGGTGTAATTAAACGAAAAAATGTAACAGGCTGTAAGAACAAAGCGCGGATGTTACGTGCCATTAGAATGTTAATATCGCCGGTATTAATATTATTTGTAGGGGGGGGGGGGGGGNTAAAATTATTCAGCGTGCAACGCATGTGCTAAATTCCCAGCCAATCGTACGCAGTGAATCTATCTTCCACGCTTAATCCTCCATTTAGTCGCAATATTCAGCAGATATACATTCAGACTACAAACATGTGTCGTTGCTATACAGATCGAATTCGTTTTTTACAATATTTTTTCTCATTCTTTTTGTTCTTCCCTCTTCTTTACATACTTTATTTTTTACATACTTAATGCCTGATTTATTAGCCAAGTGATTTATTAATGAAGAAACATTGTTTCAAGAAGCAAAAGAAAATAATGAGAAAATCGATGTTTTTGCGAGGTATAATTAACGCAAAACCGATCTTTGTCTTTGTTGAGTATCTACGTGTTTTCACTTGCAGTTTTGCAAAACGTAGCCACCGTAAGGCTCCCGAGAGCGCTCATAAATATAATTATAATTTGCACGCGTTTTACATGCCGACACGCTAAAACTTGTCAAAGCTATACGCCCTTTGTTTCGTACGTACAGCCGAACACATTGTATTTTTTGGACAACATACCTCCCCGTGCGTGTCCCTCCTGCCGTCCGGCGTGTTCTCAGGTAAGAAGTAGAGGCGCAAGGACGCCAGAGGCTGATTCGGTCCGCGGCTGTCCATCCACAGCAGCTGAAGCTCGCCGATGCTGACGAGGTCGGCATCGCTCCACAATTTCGTCAGGAAGAAACTGCCGAGACGTAGGACACGGCCGTTACCTATCCTCACCGCCTTATAAAATGTGTAAGGGCCGTGGCTGAAGCAAGCACCGCCCAGCAACTGCAAGAACGTAAAAAGATATTCGGCCGGTTATTCGTAATACTGTCCGTTCTGGGAAAAAAAACAGGCCGGGGAATGCGTAAATGTCGCCTGTGATCGCCGCGCGAAGGAAATTAAAGAGCAAGGAAGAAAGAAAAAAAGCCTTCGAAACAAAACACGGACGCTCTCTTTTCCATACGTAAACCCTCGCGCTTACGATTAATATTAATTCCGATAACGCGGTCGCTCGTGGTACGTATCATTTAATAGTTATTACCATACCATCAGCAAAATATTATAATTAACATAAATTAATACTTAATGAAATACGTTGGAATATTGAAACGTATTACGATGCGATATTAATCAGGTATACATGTATATATATATATATATATATATATTCCTCGTCTGGTTTCCTTCTATGTGTTTGTACGTGTGTATGCGTCGTGTGTGCGCACGCGCCGTGCGATGACGGACGTGAATTCATATTAAAAACGTATCGAGTTAACGCAGAGCAGGGAATGTATGTATGTATGGCGCATCGACAAATAACGCGCGCAGTTTAACCGGGAGATATTCGTTCGAGAGACATTTTTTGAGCCGGCGGAAGTTCGTTCAAGTCGGCTTTTAAAATACCATCCCCCGGATAGGACCATCGCGAGAGATTCGTGGCGGTGGGGTGAGGTCGCAGAAAAGCGAGGGTACGCCTCCCCAGAGGGTATTTGCAGCATACCGCAGAGCGCGCGCACACTTGCACGCACGTACGTAACGCGCGTCAGATAAACCAGATGCGGAACGGAAGAAAATCCTGGAGTTAAAAGTGACGCGGGCTTCCGATGCGCGGGACCGGGGAATCACGCGCGTCTGATCGAAATCGCGATGTTGCGTGACCGGCGCGTGCAACAATAAAGGCTACGCGAACGGGTTCGCGCGAAAAATTAATTAAGTCGCGTCGCAGCGACGCGTACAGTGGCGTTTCACGCGCGTCCGATAAGAGCGGGGAATCTCGCACGGCAGAAGAATGCGACGATTAATTTGTATTCGGCGAAAGAGAGATTACAGAGGCAAGATAAAACAAAAGAGTAGAAAAGAATAAAGAATAAGATGTAAAACACGAGCCTTAAGAGCCACGTGAATTTTACATCGAGAAGCTTCTCCCCTCCCTTCCTTCTTCTCTCTTTCCCCCCCCCCTTTCTCTCTCTCTTGTCCTAGAAAAAATATTTATTATTCAATGAGAAAAATGTTTATTATCCAGCCGCTGAAAAAAATTCCGCAAACGAAAGAGCAAACGAACCGTGCTCGCACGGCGCGTACAGTCCGACGCATAATTCCCGCGCACCGGCGAACAGCAGCAACGACTCGCGGCATTCGAACAGTCGCTTTTAACGCGTTCCCCGACTCCCTCCCTTCCCGCCGCGGTTCCGTCGCCTTTTCTTTTTGCCAAGTATAAGATTCAACCGTCAACGCGTGTGATTAACGAAGTACGCGCCAAGGAAAGAGAAGCAACGCGGTTCCGCAGCAGCAGCGGAGCGACGGCACTGAATGCCGCGAGAGCTCCCGCGGGGAAGTACACGAATGCGCCAGAGGGAGGCGAGTGTATATACATGTGTTTCGGTGGTGCGCGCGTGTGTTGCGTGTGCACGTACATATCAATCACCGGAAATCACTCTGTAATTGTCGACGCGAACTCCGGAGTTAGCGTTCGCTTTAGCGCCGAAAGTTATCGCGGAACTTCGGAATATCGTAATAGCGGAATTAATCGGCTTCATCGTTCCGTCGCTAATTACGTTTCGAGCGGCTTTGGCGCTCGCGAGCGATAGCGAACGAGAGAGGGGGGGGGGAGGGTCCCCTCGCCACCGGTTGTTGGCACGTGTTTTCTTCCTTCCTTCATGTCCGATACAATCGAACGGGCGGCAAACGTGCGATGCGCAAACATCATCGCACGTATCGAATGGCGGTACCCGCGAGCTTTCGCGGCAGCGAAACGAGATCACCGTCGTTAATTCGGAGTACTCGATACCGAGCCGTCCGGGTGAGGGGAAACGCGAGGAAAGAGCGGCGACGACGGGCGTGTTTCCAGCGCGGACTGTACGGGCGTCTGCTGCTTTGCAGCGGAAACTTGTCCATTACTCCCTTTGCTTTATTTATCCGGGCGAAATTTCAAATGGATCGGATTTGGACGGTAAAAGAGACAGGCCGGACGAAAGATCGATGCCCGAATATTCACGGCGTAAAACGGCCCGCAATTTCGGACGTCGGCGGTAGGAGCGGAACCGCCGCGATTTAAATCCTCTTTGTGCAATTAAAGGCCCGTGGCGACGTAACGCATGCCACGGCGATGTATCGACTTAGCGAAGGAAAGATGATTCTCAAGGACTCGTCCGTCGTCTCGAATAACAAGGTCTTTAATTGCCGACTAAGTGAATCCGATATTGGGTCACGTTCTCGCGCATCTGTGTGTCCGAGTGTCGCCGAAGGTGTATTATAATGTCGCGCGCGCACATCTCCGCGAGTACGCGAAATTATCGCCGAGTCGCTCATACGCAGCGCAAATCGACGAGCGTGCCGCGCCGTCGCTCGCGCGCTATCAATCGAGCTCGGTTACATAATTGAATCAATAAAGGTACCTCGGCTCGCGGTCGCCACGGAATGAGCACCGCTGCCATAACTATTTCCAATGTTTTAAGGGTACAGTCGCGGCCGAGAGTTCCGAGCCGGCCGCGCGAATGGTATTTATAGCGTTAATCTCGTTTCGCCGCGCGCTGCACCGCACGCGAAACCCACCGCCATTGATATCGCGATTGCATCTCTACGACGCTCTTTTATCTACACGGACAAGTGCATTCGCGCGAGACGCGTACCGCACGACGAATTTTCGAACACTGGTTCCCGCCATTATTATTTATCGCGGCGGATGCCAATTACACCCCCCATCGGGAGTCGCTAAATATTTCATCACGCGCGACGCACAATGGCGCGTGCATTATTCAATGGACAGCGACGACCGCGCGCGCGCGCGCGCTCTCTTTCGCGCGAAAACATTTCCGTCGCGTAAATAAATGTTGCTCGCAGTAGAGCGACCGAGACGACGAAGCGCGTCGTGACGTTGTCGTTTCTCCCGTCGTTGATTATTTTTCGACGCCGGGGACGAGCGAAGACAGGCGAGCGCGCAACACGACGTTCGAGACATCGCCGGTGAGAATTGTTTAAAAACAAAAGGGACGACGGTGCACGCGCGCCAACGTCTCGTTTCCGTAATTGCCGGGCCGGCGAAGTGATTCTCGGGAACGGTAATCGCGCGATCGGAGGCCGAGCGTATCCGCGAGAACCTTCGCGCCTCCACGAAAGCGTGAGTCAACCTCAAAAGTGTATCGAGCGCAAAGCTGCCCGTGCCTCTTTTTCGCTTTACGTACACACGCGACGCCGAGATAATTGTTATCTTTGTTAATAACGCGTTACCCGCCCGCCCGGCGGAATATACCGTAACATTACGCTCTTACGGACTTTTGTGTGCTGCTTTATATAATGATCGCCGGCTGTTTTCCTCCTGCAATAGAGGAGCGCTCCGCTAAAACGGTTGGTGGTGAGAAGGGGCGGGGGAACGAGAGCGTGGAAAGAGGAGACGACGAGGTTCGAACGGTGGGGGGGGGG